AAAAGTCTTCCGTTCCAGAAACAGCTATTAAATTTTAAAAATAAAATCATTTCTAATATACTTGGAAGCATTTTTTTTCTTTGGTCAGTAATAACCAACTTTGCTTGACTAAAAAATCACTCCACTAAGTTTGAAGTAAGTGGAATAAATTTTAAGTCAGGATACTTGGACAAGCAAGGTCTTTTCAAAACTCTTTTAACAAAAGATTCTTGTTCTCCTATTTCATCTGTTTCTATTTCCAAATATTTCATGGCTGTTGTTTCTTTTACTGTTAAATTTTCGTTTTCTGCTATTACTTTGCAAATTCCAGACTTAAATGAAGGATTGCATACAATCGAAGCATGTTCGCTTAAATATTTTCCAACAATTGGATATTTATCAATCAAAGCATCAAATAAATAGTGTACAGTAAAAAAATCAATACTATCTTCTTGAATCTTTTTGAATACTAATTCAAAATCAGTAAGCTTTTTCAATAATTTTTTAAAAGAATTTTGTTTGCTTCTAGAAGAAATAAATTCAAACAATTCTTTATCCTTTTCATTCAAATAAGGAACCAATTCGAAAAATCTTGAAATCATTGCAAAAGTAGATAACCATCTAGTTTCATTTCTCTTGATAGGTTAAAGATAACAACTGCGATGTAATTTGGCTGCTTGCTTTATAGTTAAAAGCTTTATCATTAGCTTATTTATATTTTCCAACAAAGTATTATATTCTTCAAGAAAACACTTTACTGCCAAGTTGAGTTTATGGTTCGCATATCCAATTTGAGGAATATTTAATAATTTAGCAAGTGCCTTATTTATATTGCAATTATCTCCAACCAAAAATAATAGACAATTTAATTGAAGAGCAACTTCATAATACTTCAAGACAGAGATAATAAACTATTTGTAAGCTTCAGCAGTTAATATATATTGCTTGGTAGTATCTTCATAATAATCAGGAATTGGTTGAAATGCAAGTAATGGTAATTGAGATCCTTTTTTTCCATTATAGTAGCAGGCAAATAAAGCAATATAATAATTACTTCCTTCTTTCCATCTATCTAATAACAGTCCAAAAGTATTAAATAATTTCTTTTTTAAATTTCACTCAACCTTTTCTGTTAAGATTTTTATATGCTTTTTCAATGTATTTGAGGAAATAGGATTGTACTTAGACATTTCACGAACTAGAGGATCATCCACAAAACTAAGAGGCAAATTCAAATGAATAATAAATTTGATCCAACTTAAAATATTTTTAACTGCTGGAGTAAGTGCAAAAACATTTTTCACATTCTTTTTTATGATTTCTTGATAATCTTTATGCTTACTACTAATATGACTAAAAGTATTTGACCAGCCGGTTCCCTTTTCTTTTTTAATGGTTACGATAGAAACTCCTTCATCATCTGTGCAATATTTGCATTTCCAATATCCTGTTTCTTTATCATCTTTCTTTTCTTCAATAAAGAAAAACCAGGTTATAGTTTCATTAGCTGTGGGAGTTTTTTTTGGTATTGAAAATCGAAAAAAAAATTGTTACTTTAGTAATTAATAATTGAAATTGATAAACTATTTTAGTTATGACGTATAATTGCAATTATTGATGATTCAATTATTTATTGCATATTACTAACTACTTTACAAGAAACTTTTGTATGCTCTTATGATTATTCTTCCAATTCCAATCATTAGTAAAGTAATATCTGTTTATACAAGATTTATGATAAAAGCATGAAAAATTGAACACAAGGGAATACTTATCTTCTTAACTCTAAGATTTTTTAAAAAAATCCCTAGCTCTCAGGCATTATCTGCAGGAAGTGCCTTATATACATGTTAAAAGAAACTTCGTAGCCATTTCTCTTATTTTAAACTTAAATATTTCAACTAAAACCCTTTAATATTATAGATATCTGGTGATGAATTAACGACCATTTCGATGGATGCATGTTGTTTAGATAAGTGACGAGCCCTTCAATAATGTTAAAATAAATGCATTGCACATGTCTCATCAGGTGATTATTACTTTGGAAAAAATGCAGATATGAAAACAGTCTTTATTAAGAAGCAGAGAAATAAAATTCCTACAACTCCTAGGACCCTTAATTTTTCGTTATTATTTAATGTTCTCTGAAATTGTCATTATTATATAATTTTCTAATTTGTTAAAAATTAAATGTGATTAAGATAATATTGGTAAAATGAGTTTTTAAAATATTTTGTTTAATAATAGAAATATTTAAATTGTATCGTATTTTTATTTTTAAAAAAACACTATACATCCAAGCTACTGTATTTCGAAAAAAATTAATATACTGTAATTCAGTTAAAAATATATAATTCAAGATTATTAAAAATTTAAATAAGAAAAATTGTATTTCAAAATTTTTACAAAGATTTATAGAAATTTTCGTAAATAAGTTTTTTTAATAATTTATTTATCAATTAGTATTTATTGTAACAACAAAACAAAAATGATGATATTTAGATAAAAATATTGTAAATTTTTAAAAATATTAATATTTCTATAATCTTTAATTAATTTATAAAATTTATTTAAATGATTTTTCTTAAATATACCATATACAGTATATACAATATAAGTTTTTTTTTTTTACTGTTAAGTGAGGCATTTCTCATAATCTTTATTAATAAAGTAAAGTTGTTACATAATTAATATTGAGATGTTGAGATACATTGCTATACATGTCAGCCTAC